GTACTGATAGGTGTTACCACATACATAGACCTCAGAAACATTATGCTGAGTGAAAGACACCAGACACAAAAGACTGCATTTGGTTTGATTTCTTTTATATAAAATTTCCAGAAAAGGCAAATTCATAGACAGAAAGCCTGAAACTGAGGTGGTAGTAGGGATTGGCTATACACAACATACAGGACCTTTTTGGAGGAATGGAAATGGTTTGAAGTGGGGATAAGGTAATGTTACATGACTGAATAAATTGATTTAAAATCACTGATCTATATACTTTGAATAGATCAATGGAATTTATGGTAGCTAGATCATGCCTCAATTAAGATATTTTTTGAGGAAAGTATATTATTATTCACATTGCTTGAAAATGTTGCAGTTTCAGACTGGGCAGTGATAATAATCTTTTTTTTTTTTTAAACCAGATTGTTTTAAAAATATCATAGTGGATATCCTTGTCTTGTTCCAGATCTTAAGGGGCAGGTTTACAACTCTTCCCCATTGAGGATGATATGGGCTTGTCATCTATAGCCTTTATTATGCTAAGGTATATTATACCTTCTATCCTGAGAATTTGAAAGTGTTTATCATAAATGGATGTTAAACTTTGGTGAATGCTTTCTCAGCATTGATTGATAGGATCAAATGTTTTTATTTTTCTTTTTTGTTTATGTGTTGGATTATATTAATTTATTTTCAGATGTTGAACCATCCTTGTGTCCCTGGAATAAATCCTATTTGGTCACAGGGAATTATTCATTGATGCATGAAAGTAGGGGATCCAAATAAGGGATCAGGAAAAAAAAAGTAATTATAATTTAAGGTAAAAACCAAAATCAACAGGCAGCTATAAGCCAGACATTCTGCGGGGTGGGGAGTGGTGGGAGGGGGAGTAGGGTCAAAATAGGGATGGGAAGAGCCCAAGGGACTATGGTGATAGTGTTTGGGTAAACTGGTGATGGGCATTTTATGGGGATTACAGCCCAGATGATAAAGCATACATTGTATAAAAATGAATGGTGTAAAAAATATATAAAATTAAAAAATCATAGTTTGTCATTCTTAGTAATATAAATTTCTTATTTTTAGTAAAATTAAACAATTTCATCTACTTGAAATTTTCTGGTAATATTACATATCTTATAATACACAGCTTTTCCACAAAAACATAGGATTCATTACCTTTTCAAAACAATAGCACTTTTTCAGTGTCAAATAGTATATTATTTCCCCTAGTTTTTACAAAAAATGTTTTGTAAAAAATGAATATTACTGAAATATTTATTTTCATGTCATCAATTTGTATTTTCTTTGAAATGTCTGTTTTTGGTGCTATCACCAAAGGGACAGTCTTTCAAACAGTTAATTAGAAAACCTGAGTAGCATCCCTATACCTCACCAGGCATTTCCATTTTAAGGAAACACAAAACCTGACCTAAAATTTCAAAGCTAGAAGAGACAACTTTTTCTTCCTTGTACTTTTAGGTGGGAGACACTATTTACACCCCAAATCTATAGAAAAATGACTTCAGAGAATTTCCAATGTAACAGACCTGACATTTTCAATAGTTGTAGTAATGAGGAATTGGAAAACCATTTAAAAAAGAAGTGAAAATGTGTTTGCTACTGCTGATCATGTCAGAACTGTGATCCACACCTCACTGGCTGATGCCTCTTTTTGTAGATCTGCTCACTATAGAGCAATGTGACCAGTACAGGCATCCCTGGTCAGAAGTCTAGAATTGTCACTCATCATCCCACCACCACCTGCATCCAGGAATATTACCATTTTCGCTGCTATTCTACTCACAACTTATGGGTAGTGATCACTCCCTCATATATTATGTTATTAGCACCTTGCTCTAACCAACTGGGGTAACCGGCCATCTGCCTCATATATTATATAAGAAACACAGGAGTTCCACTTTATTTATTTAAGTTTCACAAGTTACAAAATCAGAGATTTAATGCTGATTGAAGGAGTCCTCACTGTTGAGTGCTGGACTGCTTTAAAAAAAAAACATACCACAACTGTTATAAAGAAAATAATTCAGTTTAAAGTATCTGTGATTGTCTCTCATTCTCGTACTCACATGCATAATTAATAGAACTCAGATATGACTAAAAATGTCATACATGTTTTATAAATAACTAGGATATTACAGTCTTTATTGTATATCTGAAGTCTGGTCTTACCAAGGTGCAAACAGAAGAGACACTCAAATGCCTGACTACAGACTATGACTGTTTTTCTTTTTATATAATTTGATTCCTATCTACACTTTAAGACAAACCCAAATTCAACTTTCTTTACCTTATCTATCCTACAGATTTTAGAGTCCACATTATGCATTCTGGAACATATGCAACAAGTTCTATGTCATTCAGCTGTTTTGTGCCTAATCTTCTTATCATCCCTATGGCAAGGATTCCAGATGTCTTCACTGACTTTTTAAGTGCCACCTCTAGTTGTGCCAACAACCTAGGTATTTAATCAGCAACAATTCTTGACTTCTAAGGAAAGGTGAAAAAATAGGAGTCAACTTGTCAGAAATTCTTGCGGGACATGTATTATTAAATAGCTCAAATAATCTTTTAGTCCAAGAAAAATGTGGAGGAGTAGTACATGCTTTTGTCATTACACATCTCAAAGAACGATGCACAGTTATCTTCCGTTATTTTCTTTCTTTCTTTTTTTAAAGTTCATGACAATGGTTTCTAGTGTAATCAAGTGCCAGAATTTCATGAGGCAGCTCTATGGTTTGAACGATAGATAGGATGGTGATATGGTAGATATGTTTAATTTGTGGCTGCTCTTGTCTAACTAGGCACCAACTCAGGTTTCTGGGTACCAGACCTAAGAGAAAAATCTTCCTATTTATCAAGGAGAGGTTTTCTCTGAAGTAAACACCACTGTCTCAAGGGATGACCCACAGGTGCCTATACAAGGTTTTGACCCCAGTCCCTTGATGCCTGGCTAGCTTAATCATGTAGAGTCCCTGTTCTCAAGGATATAAAATCAATAATCAAAACCCAGTTCCTCTACTGTTCACTGTTCTTTTCTTCTTTAGTTCCTTAAGAGAGATGGAATGAGGGAAAGTAAGAGTAATGGTTTCACCAACTCAGGCTCCTGAACAAAGAGGAGGCCACAATGTCAGAGTCCATTATACATCAAGGGTCTTGCACATCTACTCTCCTGCCCATTTAACTTGTTACCAATTCTCCCTAAAGGAGAAGGGCACCAAATTACTTTGTAACCCACTTCTTATCCATTAATTCCTTTGCTGGAATTCCCAAAGTTGTTATTACCTCAGATAAAATGCTCAACATGGTGACATCATTCTGATATACTCACTCCAGTACACTAGGACTGGAAAAACAATAGTTCTGCAAAAATAAAATTTAAATAATGGATCTCAAAAATATTCTTAATATATGCTATCCATTTTCTTAGGTTGAGAGTCTCTTTGTACTTCCTAAATTCTTCTCCATTCACCTACCACTAACTGAAGAGAATGAATAAATAATGTTTGAAACTAAGGTTTCTGGACCTATCGCATCAAATTAAAACCTTGGTACTAGCTGTTGGTTGTTTGGGGAGATGTTGGGTAATTCATACCTCTAAGCTCCATCCAGTTCAAACGGCAAGGTGTTCTGAGGATTAAATTTGCCTAATGCAAATCAAATTCCGCCCATATCATAAAGCACATAGTATGCCCACAGTAAACTCTAAAATTAAAATAAAATAACTTTTATTGTTTTAAAAAAGAGGAATAGGAGACGAGTTGTCACCAGATTCTTAGCAGGGACAGGTTAGAAGAAAAAATCTGTATTTAAAAACTTGAGTATTTTTCAATAATGCATTCACTTACATACAAATCGGTACACAGTCTGAAACTGATAAAGGAGGAAATTACGTGTAATTTTGTTTCAAATTTAATAGTCAAAGGGGTGACATTGTCGGAAACCCCGGGACAGGCGGTGGGAGGGTGCAAAGCATTTTAAGAGCAGCAACCAAACACTGGTTTTCTCAGAAGCTTTTCATTCCTTCTTTGGGACAATGACAAGTAGCAGTCTCACTCCGAGGGAAGCGTGTGTCCCGGTACAAGATACTCGGTGTCCAGGACCCCGCGGAAGAGGACATAATAGTCCGCAAAGAGCAAGAGGAGACTAAAATGACCCCAGTTTCCTCCAGCACCAAGGAGCTCGGGAGCGCGCGGACCCCGCCTTCCAGGGCCGAGTGTGGGTTTGAGTCGCGGGAGTGGACCTTGGGGTCTCAGCCCTTGGCAGTTACGGTGGGGGCCCCGGGGGTCGTCCCGACATGCGTCTTGATCGCCGCCAACTCTATGGCTTCCGCCAGGAACTGCAGGCAGGTCCCGTTCACCCAAGGCCCCGCCTGTGCTGTCCCCAGCCCTGATTGACACTGGAGTTGGTACATACGGGTCTGCCGCGGAGGCAAGCAGGAGGGTGAGCGCAATTTTAAATATGGCTTTCCCTCCCTCTTAGCCTCAGAGCCATTGTGGCGCACCCAGTTGTGGACACAGCCCACATGGGAATAACCTCAGCATCTGCCCGATTTATTTATTTATTTTGTTCGATCTCCCTATGCAAGTACTTGTTTCCCCCTTCTCGCTGCTTCCCCTTTACACTAATCACAACCTGGCAGTTTGCAGAGGAAACTCCCTCCTGGAAAGCGGAATGGAAAAACGCTTTTGCATCTTCTAGTTGGGGGTGGAAACCATGTCTGCGAGAATGAGTTCAAACAAGAAGGGAAGCGGCGTCACTGGAAAGAAAGTAACATTTTGAGATCTATGAGGACCGAGGGAGGAAGAGAGGAAGGGAGGAAGGTCTGCAACAGGCATCTGACAACAAGCGTCGAGAGCAGAGGTTGGCAATCTTAGAGTTGCTAACGAGTACATTCCGCGCAATCCATTTCAATGACCAGATTTGCTGTAAGCACAATTTGAAGGCCTTTGATTTTTTTTTTTTTAAATGAGACTTACCTTTCTCTTCGGCATAATGACTATGTTCTTGCAGCAAAAAAAAGTAAAGCAATAGGCAGGAACTGCTGGCACCACCGCTGGATGTTGCCGCCGCCGCCGCCGCCGCCGTCGCCGCAGCTGCTCAAGCTCAGGGCACAGCGTAGCTTGGCCTCTCCGACCTGCACCTCGGCGGCTCCCTCCAGGGGCCCTCTACTCGCTCGCCTCCTCGCTCCTCCAATGAGGATCTCCCGCAGCCGGCTGCGAGGCCCCATTGGCTTCGGCAACGTTCTAAATTCCACGAGGACACGCCTACCTCCGCGCGCAGGGTACGCGCTGTTGTAGTTTCCACTTCACAGAAAAATCTGCCCGGCGACTGAGCATGCCCAGTTCAACTACTAATCTCCAAACCACAGGATCCTAGTTTCATTGTCTGCCTGGCCTCTCTGAATTTTGTCAGTAGGACGGCTGTGGGCCTTTGAAGAGAGGAAAAGGAGTAAGGTTGTACAAGTTAACTTTATGATATAAAGCTGTACACAGTTCACATTTCATGTTTCCTATCCATAAAGGTTTTTAAGGACTTTTATATCATGGAGACCTGTAAGAGTGAGAAGGTGTTCTGTTCTGCAACGCTTTGGCAATCTTTAAGGCTCTGGGTTTCCTCTCCAGATGTCTAGTGACAGTAACCACTAAAGTTGCTTACCTATGATTTCCTAAAATCTATGATTACACTCACTGATTTAGCAACTTGGTGATGAATAGACTTGATGAAGAATAAGATATATATATATATTATGGAAATTAGAAAAAGAATGAGCAAGGCCAGTTCAAATTATTATATATTTGAAAATATTTTTAAATGGCATCTGTCCTGCCTACTTTAAAGTTTCTCAAAATTCTGCAAGGCATTGGACAACTATTGCAAAAACATTTTCAAATGTCCAAGATGCCAAGGTCAGTGAAAGACCGCAAAAGAAAAGATATCTACAGAGACCAATAGCCTATATAAACATTACCCAGATGTATTGAAAAAAATGTTAATATCAAACCCAACAACATTTTAAAGGATAAAACCTTAGCAATACTGAGGTTTGCAAATTTTTTTTAACATCTGAAAATTAATCAAAGTAAGTGACCATGTTAATAGTAGAAAGGGAAAAGCCAATGTGATCATTGCAACAGTTTCAAGAGAAGGTCTAGTGAATGAATAAGCAAATTATAATAACCAAGTACAAAAAATACTACACAGCAGTAAGTAGGAACAAAATATTCCCATATGGATGAAAATCACTACCAAATTTCTGTATGAAAGAAGCCAAAACAAAAGATCATACTGATTAATTTCATTCATATGAAATAGTTAAAAAAACAAAATTAGTGAAGGTTCATTTCATGATGATACTAGAAGATAAAAGTTCACAGCATAAGAAAATATATTTTCATAGTGCAAGTATGGGCACTCTACTTTGGTTATATGAAGACTGCAAATATGACGGAAAATGACTCACAAAGTTAAATATTGATCTCTTTCAAGATGAAACACTGAATCAACAGTAGCAAACAAATTGTGAATATTTTGCTGCACATAATAAAAAGGCTTCAGTGAAAATGAAGCTCTTTAGGTAGACAAAGAAAGTTATGGTGAACTTGGGTTATGTGGTCTTTTGTTTAATTACAAGTGATGACAATAATAGCTTTAGTTGTTAAATAAATAACATTAATTATCATTTAGTGACAAGATGGATTGTGCCTGCTTGAACAGGGCACAAGGGAATAGAGGATTCTCCTGTACACATTCAGTAGCCTCTAAGTCTAGGAAAATAAACACAGGCCCCTGCCGGCAGCCCGAGAAGTAAAGCAAATAGGCAAAGGAGGTAATTTGGTGGGTAGCTAGGATTTCAGGATAGGAGGCGAAGACACCAGAGCAGAAATGAACATATAACATGTATGACACTGGGAAGCTCAATCTGGATCGAAGACTGATTTGTTTATCAGTATATTCTGCTGAGTGCTTTATTTTGAGAAAGCAATATCTAAGACAGTAAAGTCTTCTCTATAGGATGCAGATACTATTTCAGCCAACTTAGACTACAGATAAATTAAGGGAAGAAGAAGGAAAAATCAATGAACAAACTTCCAGTTCCAGTGTCTCTTCCCTTCTTTCCTTGTCAAAGCTGCAGGAATCCTACACCTAATACTTTTCAAGCATCAGGGTCAGGGCAAAGTCATGTATGCTCTCATGACTGTATTAAGGAAATGACAAGGAGGAAAGGAACAGGACAGAAGATAGAAACATTAGAATGAATTTCACATGATAAAAGATAAAGCATATTTTATAAAAATTTACATTTTCTATGTTACTGCATGAACACACACCATGCGATACATATGTACACAGTGTGTCAATGGGTGTGCATTCACACTGTGATATGAAATGTATTTTTAGAATGGGTCTAAGTCAAAAAATTTTAAAGCTATTGCACAGTCCTAATGAATTCTGTGGCTTTTTAGGGCTCTAGGAGTTTCTTCATCTAAAAGAAAGGTGCTTAATTTTCAAATCTTGAAAGCAAATCTTGAAAATAAAAGATCATTTGCCAATCACCTCCTTCTTAATCTGTCTCTCCTTCCCTCTTTCAGGCAGGCACAGGCAGGCTTTTGCTTTAAGCAATGGCAAGTTTCTGGGGAAGTCAGATCTAGAACTGATATATGACTGCTTTTGATAGCTCTGTAATTTCAGGTTAAGTTACTCTTCTTCAGTAAATATGCCAAAGAATTGCAAAGGTGAAGGAATTTAGGAGTGTAACAAACAACTTCAAAAGGAAGACATAGGGAAAATAGTCTGTTTGCTTTGTCTCTTATCACTCAAGCAATAATTTAACTGGATGCAAACTTTGAAGAGACCACAGTTTACTTTTTACAAAGAAACGAGGACAGCCCAAGAGCAATCCAAAATCACAGGACTGCCCAGTAACACAGATTCCAAAATCTCCAACCCCACACTACTGATTCAGAAAATTGTATGGCCAGGCCTGGGAACCTGCATTTCAAACAAGCTTCGAGTGATTCTTATTCTAGAATTTGAGAATTCTAGATTATGTCTTAACTCACCACAGCTTTTAGACTCCAATAAATGTATAACTGTAAAAGTTGGCTAGCTTAGTAATACACTTCCAAAAAAGAGCAAAATTCTGTGGGTGACACTCCCCCTTCTCGCCATTGCCATTACCCATTGTTCTCAAATGGGTACAACTCCATTTCACCTCAATTCCAGGTTGGTGTCCATTACCTGCTTTCTTCACATCCATCTTCCTTCTCTCTAGTAGCAAGGGCTCTGAAGGATGATTAAAATTGCTTTAAAAAAAGGCCCTCCCTGGTGGCACAGTGGGTGAAAGCACAACACTAAGAAGTTAAAGCCACTACAGCGTGAGTTTGATCCCCACTACAGAGGTGAGCACATGGCACAGCAGACCTCTCCTGACCCACCCACTGCTCCCCTTAGCAGTGTACTTCATCATTTGGCCTGTTCTGCACCCCACTCTGTCTCTGGTGAATCCTCTCATGGCCCCTGCACCTCTGGCTTGTACCACAGTTCTGGACGCATAAGTAAATAAATCTTAAAAAAAAAAAATCTAGAAAAGCTCCTCCTCCCATCCACCCAGGCAGTGCTGTAGGCAGCTCCTGGAGCCCCTGACGAGATTAAATGCCCTGTGTTTACATCCTTAAAGGAAACCTCATCTACACAAATACAAGCCACACCCTTTTAAGGTTTTATTATTTCAATGATTGTACAAGCATCCCTATTAGTTACATTAACTGCAAGGAACCCATTCCGTGAGCTCCCAATAGGACTCACTGTTTTCTTCAGTCTTCAATCAAATTAAATTTGTGTACAGTTTCTTTACTCCAACCCACAACGCTTTTTAGGTTTAACCTCTGTGTTATTTACCTCTCCTTCTTCTGGTTGCTACTACTTAAACCCACAGGAGTGTAATTCATTTGTTCTTTGTAGCTCCCAAATGACTATTGGTGGTTGATTACCCATGCTCAGTGACTAGGACCAGGAATTGGGCTATATTCAGGCAGACATCCCTTTCTGCCAGATTACCAGTATATCTGGTGCTAAGAGTATATTGGGTTCATGGAGGTGAAAGTTAAGAAGGAGGATACCCAAGGTTCATAGTGAGGTCACAACAAAGTAGAAAAAGCTCCCATCCTTGCAGGGGGAAAAGCCACAGGTTGCAAGCTGCTCAAGAGCAGCCAGGGGTTGTTGCAAACCTCTTGAGCTGAATTATACATCCTTTTTAAAAAGATTTTATTTATTTAGTAGAAGAGCTGGGTTGTAGGTCAGAGGTGCAGGGGATGAGAGGATTCACCAGAGACTGAATGGAAAGCAAAACAGGAAGATTGACTGAAATACACTGCTAAGGGGAGCAGCAGACAAGACAGGAGAGGTCTGCTGTGCTATGTCGGTTTGCTCCCTGGCTGGGGATCAATCTCAGATCTTAGTGGTGGTAATGCTGAGACTTAACCCTTCAGCCCTGAATTATACATTCTTGTAGACTACTGCCATTACCAGTACACTCCCATAGTACTAATCATTGCCATTGAAGCTGGGGGTTTGGTTACTCCTTCCTGAAGTCTTCAGCATTTCCTGTAAACCTCAGAATCCTTGGGATCTTGGAAGAAATCCCCAATAGGCTCATTCCCATTACTGCTCACATTGATCCTGGCTTTCAGGGGAAATCAGGCTATTTCCTTTCTTTATTGAAAAAAACAAAAATCTGTGTTTACTGAAATGAGAATGCACTGAGTCATACTGGAAAACACCATAGAGCTATTGAAGATAATTTTAAGGCTAACTACATTAATACTATTATAATTCTTAGATATTAGGTAAGAGTTAATGGAAGGAGTAAAATGTGCCTTACCAAGTCAGAATAAATGGAAGCTGAAAGGCAAAAATTTTTTGCCCACCAGTGGAAAACTAGCCTGAAAATGTGGCATAATATTTAATGGGGTTTTTAAGCACAGAGTTTTTGTTGTGGTTTTGCAAGCATGGGGTGATGCTTTCCCTGCAGAAAATCTTATCTTTTCCTACTTTCTCTTTCCATTTCATACCTCTGTTCTCCAGAATCTTTGGCCATTGGTTTCTTTTTGTTTACTTGCTTACTAGCCCAATTTTAAATTTTTTTAATTAAAAA